GATTTTGTCACTTTTGGGAACACTGACTACTACTTTTGGTATGTAATTATGGAAACTGGTGTTTGTGAAACTACCCTAAGCTTAAGAATGGAAATTGTGGTTAACTTTACCTTAGAATGGAATTTATCAAAATTCGATCTTCCTCTTGAAGATCCAGAATCATAGCTACTATGTTTGAAAGATTGACATTGTCGGGGACCAAATGTGACTATCCCCCAGATGTTTTTCCATTAAGTGCAACCACATCAACATTAACAAAGAAAGGTTGGTAATGACGGCTGCATTGTAGTTGGGATTGATCGGTAAATTTTAGGTGGTGCACAATTATTGATACGGCTACCCTGCTTCAGGGTCAACAAAACGTCTCTAATTCAGTTTTTTTGTGGCAATGGGGTTCTTCACTTAAAAATATAATGGTGGTCGCCAAAGCATTCTTCTAGAAGGTCGGTAAGTTGTAGAAAAATGTCAGCGATAGTTGTTCCAAGTTGCCCAAAAGTCATGAAAAGCTGGCATATTTCGTGTTCGACAAGGTGGCATAATTATGACGTTAGACTTCAAGAACCAAGAATGCTTACATCACGTGTATGATGATAGCGATACTGCCTAACCTATGCTCTGATACCAAACTAACACACCCCGACATGGAGTGTCCACCTGGACACCCGAATTGCGATGTGCTGGGCGACACCTGGAAGGTGATGAAGCCATAAAGTGTAGTGATATGGAAAATGTGGATAAATTAAAACCTAAAAGTGACTAATTTAGAGAGTGCATATGAGCGAGATTAAACCCATATCACACAAGTGATGTCAGAGCATAGATAAATTGCAGTAAAAGAAGAGTAAGGACATTTATACTGAAAGAAGAAGTCTCCTACGTAACAGCTTTAACCACAATCCTCGTCGTCAAGAAACCTCTGCCACTAAAATCTTGGAAGGGTGAAAAACAAGGGTGAGTGGGCCTGAAAATAAAGTTTTGTAAAACCTTTTCGAAAAGTGTAACCCCTCGTTGTAAAACAAGTATATGGTTTCCCAAAAACATTATAATTATAATATGTAATAGGTACCCTACAGCAAAAGTGAGTCAAAGATGTAGGGTACAACAACTAGGTATCTCAACATTAAATCTCAAATCGATATCATAAGAAATCAATGCTCATTAATTTATGTAGGCACACAAGTCCATTGTAGAGGTATTCTGATAATGGAATAGGCTGGGTGTAGGTTTTACATTCTAGTACTACATCATGTGAGATGCGCTAGTCACATCATATACGAGTCCAAAACATCACACAAAAGGACAAGTTGCACCTAACTCAGGATCCAAAACGAATGTAAACGGTGCATGTGAACTACATGTGCAACTGGTCCTTGGCCTAGGACAATACAAATAACTAAGAGACACCGTGCAAACATGTAATAATGAGCAAATATAATGCAAGGATGTCATGCCACAAGTTTATGCTCACAAATAATATTAAAAACATGAAGTGCACGAAAAGTCTATTTGTAAAGCTAAACATGGCATGCCACATCATAATATATAAAAGCAGTTGTTGGGAAAATCACATATGCATATATATATATATATATATATATATTTACACACACACACACACACACACATAAAAACAAAAGGCCTGCTCATAGGTACATGCATGTCGTAACCATAGCAGCTAGGAAAGCCGAGGTCTTCGATAGAAATTTGCACTTAAGCCGAGGTCTTCAATTGAAATTGGTACCAAGCTCGCTAGTCAACTAAGATAGATTTGTTAGTCGATAAATTTGAGATTCAAATACCAATTTCAGTTCACAAAAACTATCCTAGTCAGTAAGGCTATAAATTGTTGCAAGTTATTAATGTGTCAAGTGAGCATGATAGTGAGCACAAACCAATTAAATGTTCAAAAGATATATCTACCATGTATGTGTGTGGGATGTGTGACACAATAAACATAACTTGAACACAAGATATTTTTAGCTGATAAAAACCCACATTTAGGTTAAAAAATCGGGGAGTCTCCATTGAGTCCAATCCACTAGTGTAAACAAAGGTTCATACAAAGACCACGCAAGTTCAATTCCTACATCCCTATTTATGGAACAGCTTTACCTTTGTGTAACCTTTCCTTACACGAGATGGACTCCTTTGATATTCACAAAGTGAGAGCTCTTTTCGAGCTCATCGCCTTGTGGCACCGAGATCAACACGATCAATGATATGATATGATTTTATGATATGCACATGAAATCTGGATTCAAATGACCAGTCAAATTCTCTAGTCAAACAATTGAAGGGTGAATTTAACTTGAATCCAAAAGCTTGGTCTAAAATCGAATTTAAAGCTTAAAACTAGACCAAGACTTAAATGCAAAACCTTAAAATAATGACTGAGGAAGGTTTGGCATTTAGGGTTCATAAATAAAGAAGTTGCAAGCTTCAAGCCTTTAAGGCAACTTTTTCTTTTTAAAACTAAGTTCTAAACCCACAAAGAACAATTGGCAACCCTAGAAGCAAATATACCTAAGGAAATCGGATTTTCCATTAGCCAACTTGTCCCAAGGACACTTGTCGGCTACAAAAGAAATATAGGCAGATCAATGGCAGAAATTGACTATCATTACAAAGGTGTCAGTCACCCCATGTGGGCTGTCTTAATCTGTGTACCTAGATAGCTGAAAGTCAGCAAGCAAAACTGACTAGACAATCAAACAACACAAAATGCAATACAAATAAACATATGAAAAACACATGCATAAACAAACCCTTGAGTTGAAATGTGTCATTTCTTGAACATTTACTCCAACAGCAACAGACCATAATCTGAGTATATTCTAAAGCTAGATTGACCATGTGTGATGTTCAATTACAATATTTAACAAGAAAAGTCAAACACTTAAAGTTAGATTTTACAAATACGCATAAAGCAACTAAATGGATAAATTTAAAAATTATTTTAATACAAAAATACAATAATGACATGTAATTTAACTTAACAAAAAATGGTGAGGATTGGTCAAAACCCTTTAATCAAATTTAAAAAAAGCACAACTATTTAATCTATATGATATAGAAAATGTGTAGAGGATTTTAATTTCATCTTATATTAAAGACATATAAGTATGGCAGCCAAATTCGTACTCAAAATTATATGAATGTGACTTTATATTTTTCATTTACACTCTCTAACAGTCTCAGGTTAACTATGTCTAAAAAATCAAACGATCAATCTGCTAAAAACATAAATCAATGCAATTTTAATATAGGATAAAGTACAAAAAACTACCTCAACTATTGGTGTCACGACACTTTCATACCTCATCTTTTAAAATTGACAATGTCATACCTCATCTTTAGAAATTGTGTCAATGTTATACCTTCCGTTACTTTGGCCGTTTATTTCTTAGTTAAATGCTGACGTGACTTGACCCGGGACCCATTTTTTATTAAAAAACTAATAAAATATTATTAAAAACAAAAAAAATCATTTAATATTATTTAAATATTAAAATAATAAAAAAAGTACATAAAAAAATAAAAAATAAACCTCTCATTTTCGTCCCTCCCTCCTCTCTCTCTTCCCCATCTTCTTGCAACCCAAAAAGAAGAAGAAGGAGGAGGAAGAAGAGGAAGAAGAAAGAGAAAAAAAAAAAAAAAAAACCCCAAACCAAACCCAGTTCGTCCCCCCTCCCCCCACCACAAACCCAAGCCCCTGCAACCCAGAAACAAGGAGGAGGAAGAAGAAGGAAAAAAAAAAAAAAAACCCAACCCCAACCCAACCCGAAGGAGGAAGAGGAAGAAGAAGAAGAAGAAGAAGGAAAAAAAAAAAATGAGAAAATCTCGTCCTCCCTCCCCCATCCCCACCCGCCGCCCCCAAAATACCCACCCACCAACCCACCCTGCAAAAGGCAAACAAGAAGAAGAAGAGAGAAGGAAGAGAAAAAAAAAAAAAAAAAAAAAAGAAAAAACCAACCCAACCCGAAGGAGGAAGAGGAAGAAGAAGAAGAAGAAAAAAGAAGAAGAGGAAGAAGAAGAAGGAAAGGATAAAAAAAAAAAAAAAAGGGAAATTCTCGTCCTCCCCCGGGGCCGCCCTCTTTAATACCCACACACCTTGCAAATGAAAAACAAGAAGAAGAAGAGAGAAGGAAGAAGAAGAAAAAAAAAAAAAAAAAACCCAATTCGTCCGTCCTCACCCCGCCCCCCCTCCCAATTTCTCTGCGCCCAAGTTCTCAACCTTCGGAAATCGGCCTGGCGAAGGTTTCCAGATTCCACCTCAACGGGATTTGCGTTTTTTTTTTTTTTTAATTTTTTTTATGGGTTGTAGGTAATGGGTGCGAAGTTGAAAAGGTGGGGAGCGGGAAAACAAATTAGTTTTTTTTTTTTTTCTCTCTTTTTTTTTTTGGGTTGCAATTGCAGAAAGAGGGAAGAAGATGAAGATGGGGAGAAGAGAGAGAAGGGGGAAGGGGACGACTGATGTTATGATGTTGGTTTTTTTTTATTTAAATAACTTTTTTTATTATTTTAATATTTAAAAAATATTAAATGATTTTTTTTTAGTTTTTAATAATTTTTTAATAAAAAATGGGTCTAGATTAAGACACATTAACATTTAACTGAGAAATAAACGGTCAAGCTAACAGAAGGTATGATATTGACACAAATTCATAAGATGAGTTATGACATTGTCAATTTTAAAAGATAAGGTATAAAAGTATCGTGATACCAATAATTAAGGTAATTTTTTGTACTTTGCCTTTAACACACACACATATATACATATATATATATATATATATATATATATAATGCAGCAACCTAGGTCTAGCGATATTCTCCGAAATCCGATTCTGCCAAGATTAAAATTGAACCACAACGTTACTAAGCTAAATGACCGTACTAAATTTCCTTCTCTAAAACATTACCATCAACTAGAATAGCTCTCATCCTTCTGCTGACTCCTCCATCCGACTTCCACCTCTCTCTCTCAAAGTTTTACCCAAATGGACGGGTCCGAAAGTCAATCCAAATCGATCAGCCAAGACTCCGATCCGCCCACGGCCCACCACTTCCAAAACGTCGTTGTCATGCGCCACGGCGACCGCATCGACAACTTCGAGCCCCTGTGGACATCGCAATCACCCAGGCCGTGGGACCCGCCTCTGATCGAAGAGGGCAAGCTCCGGGCCTTCTGCACGGGTACCAAACTCCGATCGGATCTCGGGTATCCAATACACCGCGTCTTGGTCTCGCCATTCGTGCGATGCGTCGAGACTGCCGTCCAAGTCGTCACCGCCCTTTCCGCCACCGAAGGCCCTTCTCTCTCCAAATACGAGAGCGACCAGCCCGTCCCCGTCGACCCTTCTAAGCTTAAGGTGGGCCATTTATACCCATACATATACATATATACGTATTTTGATATTCTAGTACTAAATGTTGAAACTTTGTGATTGCATCGTATAACAAATTTTTTTTCTTACTGGTGACAACATGTATATGTATTGACGTCAAACTAAATTTGCAAATTAAATAACGTGATAGTAGATGATTAGATTATTAAATAAGTGCTTGATTATTATATGCGACACATTAAAAAATGAAAAATTTAACGAAAATTTGTTGGTACTATTCATTTTAACGAAAAATCACATTTTTACACTAAAATATCAATCTTGGTACTATTTACTTTACCTTTTATTTTGCCCTTATCGTTAAAACTAAAAGTTTTCAAACTCTTTTTATTAGTTTTTCTTTAAAAATTTTGATCTCTATAGCACTACCCTCTGGATATGTATTTATGTGTGTGTGTATGTATGTTATTTTGTCGTGTTCACGGTAAATATTATTGACAATTAGAGTAGATATCTGACATGTCATATTGTCCTTGTAAACAAATTTGTGCAGTTAGAAGTTTTGATTTAGTGTCTGACAATATAACATACTACATATTGAGGGCTAAGAAATAGCTCGATTGGATTTAATCTTTGGATTCATGTTGTAGGATGCAAAGAAAGAGCTCGAATGGTAATGATATTGTAGGATGCAATCTGTTGTTCCCATTTTGCAGGTCTCAATTGAATATGGGTTATGCGAGATGCTAAACAAAGAGGCGATTCACGGTGATTTGGCTCCAAAAGATGAGCAATGGGATTTCAACATACCAGACCTTGAGGCTATGTTCCCGGCTGGGACAGTTGATCAAACTGCGAAACGAGTGTACAAAGAGGTAAGTGAGAATCTCTCGGTGTACATTTGTGCGTATATGAATGTAGAATGATTAGTATTTTTCGTGATGGAGCCTGTTCCTGTGATTAACCTCAGTTGCCCCATTGGGGAGAGAGCGTGGCGGGTGCGCGTGCTAGATATGCTCAGGTCATTGAGGCCCTTGCTGATAAATACCCTGCAGAAAACTTGCTCCTTGTCACTCATGGTAGGCTTCATGTCTGGTTCGAAACTTTCTTGGACTTTCATTTTCTGTTTCATATTTTTGACATGTTTTTGGTTGTTTTTTAAAACTTTGTTGACTTTCATTTTGTGCCTCCAAAAGGCTACACAACCTTCAATTATAAGAGAAAGCATCTTTGTGCAGGTGAAGGAGTTGGTTCTTCAGTTTCCGCATTCCTGGAGGGCGCAACAGTATATGAAGTAGAATACTGTGCATATTCAGAACTAAGAAGGCCCATCAAAGACCAGTCATCAGCTGCAGGAAAGTTTGAGGTAATCGGAAATCGTGGCCGGACTGGGGTAAGTTACTCACTCCTCGCCTCAGGAACAGATGATTGACACTGAATATTAGAGTACAAGACAACAGCGTAATAATCGCCTTCTTTTTAGCACACTTGACTGCATTTATACGCCAAAATTCCTGTTACTGGAGAGATCATTCCGGGATTCACTGGATTTACATATTGATCAGACAATAGTTTTCTTTACTTGTTTTCGCAACTTCAGATTCCCATGTACTTGCTGCTAGACCATGAAGGGTCCGGTTAGAAAGGAACAAAACCACTGCTTCCCTTGTATCAGAACCAGAATGATCAAATTCCGGTTTAAACACTGACAAAAGAAATTGAATTGAATTATCATAAGTGATTTCATTGCTACTAGATTATTGATCTGATTCTATTGCTGTTAATTTTAGTCCAACTCTTGACTTTCTTTCAAAAGGTTATCGATTTGAACGAGAAAAAAATGAAAACTGAATGAAAGTTGATTCGTGAATCAAGAATTACTCAGGCAAAAACTTTATAGCTACTAGAAGTAGGTCAGTATCTAGTACAAAGAATGCCAGTAACAAGAATTACCAATGCAAAGGTTACAGAAGAGGTACAAGGTTATTGTCGGTCAATGCTGCCCTGATGTGTTCGGAAGTGGGTCAAGTTGATCAAACATGTCTGTCGGGAAGTCATCCAACAGACAATCCGGAGCCATGGTATGGTCGATTTGTTCCCTTTCACAGCTTACACAGCTTCCTACTGGTTCAAACAATCGAGGTTCCATGGGAAGTGGTTCTCCATTTCCAAGCTCCGAAGCATCCAGAGGTACTAACATGTTGAAATAGGGGTCGAATGTTGCCAAGAGTTCTTGGGTTTCAGATGAGAATAGGTCTGTTTGGGGCTGTGGGTTCTGCAGGAAAGGTATTACAGACTGGGACTCATTCCTTGTATCCTTATCAGTTATGGTGAGCTCATGTTGAACAGGGTTTGTTTTGAAGCAAATAGACTCGGGCTTAACAATATCCAGCAGCGGCACCATTTTAATGATCTCAGAGTTCCAAATGTAAGGTGGCGGTGACGAGCATGACGAAGCCTGTGTCGATGGTTCTCCCTCTGATGAGCAATTGAATTTTGGAGCCTGAAGCAAAAGAAGAAAAGGACCTGTCATCTAATAAACAACAGTTATTGGAACGTAACTACACTACTATTAGAGGATGGTACCATTTTGTAACCTTGTACGAGTGTGGGGTACTCTTTTTCTTTCGACCAAGTTTAAATTTCCGATAAAATTTTAACGGGGCCCACTATCGTGCACCGTATCCTCATGTACAAGTTCTTTTTAAAGAAGAAAGGGTCAATTACCTGTAAAGTGGGAAGCTCATGAAAAACAGAGACTTCCCTTCTGGTTTTATGTGATTTGGAGGAGAACGTGGCTGCTGTTGGTGTCTGTAGAATCCTAGCCAGCCTCTTCTGCCTGCTGCTCCAAAAGTTCTTGACGTCGTTGTCCGTCCTCCCCGGCAAATAGGTCGCTATTCTTGCCCATTTGTTCCCAAATTGTGCCTGCAACTCTATCACCATCCTCTCCTCCTCCACTGAAAATTTGCACCCACTGAAAAAAACCAGAGATTCCAGTCACAATTAGTAACAAAACCCCACAACCCATTTCTTTTTCTCAATTAAGAAAAGAAAAAAAAACAGTAACTTGTTTCGTAAATCTTAATTTTTTGTTTTTGAGTACAACGGTATATTTTACACTAAGGGAAGGGAAAGTGGCTAAGCCACACAATAGGCAACTTAATTTGGTATCGAATTCGTCATTTACGAGATTCGAACCTAGCAAAACCAACAACCATTTCTTTACTCCAAACTAGAATAAGGGAAGGAGGAGTGTTCAAACTCAGAATGAAGTTACAAGAAGCGAAAGACTCTTACCACCAAGTAATGCACCACTAGACTTGCAAACAACCCATTTAATTAGCAACAAAACCCAGCAACCCGTTTGTTAAATCTTAACTAGCAAGAAAACCTATTTCTTAAACTTTAATTAGTTACAAAACCCACCAACAACCCATTTCTTAAATCTTAAGTACCAACGAAACCCACCAACCCATTTCTCAAATCCTGATTAAATTATCAATTTATCAAGTTCATGAAACCAAAGTGCCAACAAACAGCAAGTAAAAAACACAAGACACAGTGAAATGGCGGATGGTAAATTGGTTTACTTCTTCAAGTTGGGTCGGAGCTTATTGACCCAACGGAGCCGGCAAGACTTTCCGGTTCGCTGCAAGAGGCCCTTGGATCGAATGGAGCTCCAGTCTCTTGGTCCGCATTTCTTCACATGGTTCAATAGCACTTCGTCTTCCTCTGCCTTCCATGGCCCTTTCCTTATACCCTCTTCTTTTTTACCTTCCATTCACAATTAATTACCTCACACGCAGAGAAGAAGTAAATTTTTATTTTTTGGGGGGAATGTTTTCTGGGTTTTTTTGTTCTTCTCTGAGTTGTGCACACTCCGTAATTTTTTTTTTTTTTTTTATCGTCTTATGTAGTGGCGGTTAAGGCGGTTACTTCCTTCCGGTGTCCTCCCCCACTAACGAGCCCACATGCGCACTTTTTTCTCCGTTTCAAAATCGTCTGCGTGGAATTACAAAAGTGGCCCTGAACATGTGCCACATTGTTTATTTTTTATTCCAATTTCCCGCCTTTGTTGTTGATATTTTAAAAAAAAAAAAGAAAAAAAAGGGATCAGCTAGTAGCCACTGTAGTCCACCATTATGAGGGTTGAGAAGCCTTACAAAAATATTTTAGCATCTTCTTATCATCATTCTATGAATCACCAACGTTAATAATCGAACTTAAAACGTACCGTGTGAAATACGAGTCTAAAATCACATTTGGTCTATTTTACAGAATTTACGTGAATTTTTTTATGAATTTTTTTCTTTCCAGAAAATTAAACATGTTGATAGTTTACATATGCTTCCCATATTCTAAACTAAAAAAGTAAAGTGCTTCGCCTGTTGATTGGACCTTTTTTTTCGAATCACCGTATCCCGCGTTTTATCCTCTTCAATCCGTTAGTGTAGCATGGTGTATTATAAATCCGCCAAAAGCTTATCAACATTGAACACTGAAATACATCCCCGAGTACAATGAAAACATGATACTTCTGAATTTTAATTCATGGAAGTATTAATCCATTAAAAAATAAAGAAAAAAAATCGCTCAAGACCATGTCAGAGTGGCCTAATCTATTTCAAATTATCTATCTATCTATTATATAAAGAGAGAAGAAAGGTGAATAGTATTTTGATGTCACCAACTTCAACAAAATAATTGGATAAAAATGCCTTCAAAACAAAAAACTTCAACGCATTCCAAAATAATGCATCAAATAAGGTAGGGGTATTTTTGTCATTTTTATAGTATTTTTTTTATAATTAAATTATTTTGTGGTTTTGTGTTTTTAATTTTTTAATTAGTACATCACAATAGACTAGTAATAATTTGATCAATTTATCTATTTCTAAACATGTTCAAAACATCATATTGAAACGTGTAATGTTGTTATAAAAAAGATTCTTCAAACGCAGATAATAATATGATTAAATTAGTTATCAAATGATCTAAGATTATTCATTTACTTCAAATATTTGACTTTCCTTTTTGTCAATTTACACATATATACACATTTAAAACGTGTAAATCGAGCATAGCACTTCTGATTCAAAAAATATCTTTTGCACGTGTGTGAACACATACGTGGAGGCTACTATATACTAAAGCGCAATGGGAAAAACATTGTTTATAAGCACGTTGGCGAAATTGCCCTTATTTTATTGTGCTTTCTCTTCTTTATTTTCTCACAAGAACAGTGAATTACGAAATAACCCATAGTCATACGTGCTGGTTCTGTGTCTTTGATAGCTGTCATTTTCTCATCTCGACAACGTTTAGTGTGGGACTCTTGGCGATGAACAAAACAGCGCCAAACCCAGTTTACCCTGTCCACCGCCTCAACCAGTTCAACGAAATCTGGCTACTAGTTCCATAGAACCACCGCCAGCTTCCAATTCACTCAGTCCACGGACTCCACCAATTAACCAAATCTGGCTACTCACTTCATATCACACGCCGACGTACCAGCAGTACATCCGCGTCGTTTTCGATAACTATATTTACGGAAGGTAAGCAATTTATTCTACTTTAGATTTCAAAGATTTCTGTACAAATAAATTTATCTTCTGGGGATTCTTCTGGAGATGCAAAATTTGAAATGAAAGAGAGAGAGAGAGGGAAATTAATAAAGAAAAGAAGCACAGAGGTAAAACCCCAACAAGATTTATGTACCAGATCAGGTTTTTGGTAGTGATCTTTTTTTTTATAGTTTTTGGTAGTGATCAAGTTTATGATACTCCAGATCTTCAGAGGTTGATCAGAGCCGATTACCAATTTGCTGCTACTCTAAACCTTCTCAGCGGCGTTCGCCACTAATAGTTACACAGATATGCAGAGAGTCACGCAGTATTTCTTGGATTTCATTGATCACAGCGAGCATGGTGATAGGTATATTCCCTCACTTTTACCATTTTTGAACTGAGATGATATTGGGAGAAAACACATCAAATTGTCTCGTGATGTTACACATTTACTCAAACTGTATATCTGATGAGCTATTTATTAATGTTATGCCCTATGTTGATGACATATCAATCATATCGGCCATCTGTATTGTAGCAATTAATAGCAACTCATGACACTCCCCATAACAAACTTCCCAATATTCCATGTTTATATGATTATATCTACTCGAAAGACTATATATTCGAAGATAGGATTGAAAAGTCGTGCGCCTTTCTTATGTTTTCTTTTTTGTTGATGCACCGCGATCTGCATTTGCCAAAGAAATTATATAATCAGGATGCCCATATTGTCTTGGAGTGTACAATTGCAAAGCTCCCAGCAGTTTTGTGGAAATTGGATTGGAATTTGAAGACAAGAAATTTAGGAATGTGTATTGGGTTTTTTTTTTCTCTTTCTGATTGTGATATGATTACTGTGTATTTACTTTATTTAATTACAATTTAGATGGGATGGAATTTGAAATTTAATTTATGCGTGTTCCTTTTTTCTTCCCAGCTATCAATCTGCTGCTTACATGATGCCAAAAAGAAATTGGAATAGCAAAACAAATCAGATGGTACCCGACCAAAGTGAAAGGGTCCACATCAGAAAAATGCATCGCTCTGATGGTTTTCTGCCCACATGCTAATGCTGACTGCATCAATCTGCATCCAATTCATATGTAGAACGTCAAACACTCCTCTCCTGTTTTCGAACGTAGCTCTGCGCTAAAGGGTCATCAAGATTAGATGGGGCACCCTGTTCCTCTACTGATTCACTATGTCTCTGCATTATAGTCTCTACAAAGAAGACAACATATAGCAAAGATAATACGCCGAGACATGGCACTCCTTGCTGGTTATAGATGGCAGGTACAACCTCTCCTGGTGCTTGGTCGGCCAGCCACATCTTTTGCTTCGGCAGCCACCTCGCTCTTACATGAAATCTTGTTGGATACTCTTTGCATGAGGATTCACCCGTCAGAAAATCCTTCTCGTTGTCACGATCCATCCATCGTAACATAATTGGCTCACCTGAGCTAAATTATAAATTACCAATGTGCAGTGATGGAACCAGGATTTCAATGTCGGATTCATTGACATTCATACTAAATTTTGTTGTTTCCCGAGTTAAAAATGTTGGCAAAATTTTGGAAAAAGTCTCTGTATCGAAATGGAGAAGTTTGCTGCAACTCCTTAACAATAACAGCCGCAAACATTTCAGCACCACCAGTGTTTCTTCTGTTTACTTGTCAACCAAGCAATCATCCTCTTAAATCTGTATTCGCGATTTCGGATGGAACTAACAACAACATTTTCATTTCTTTCTTCCACTTTTTCCTTTTACTGTCTCATAAGAGAAGCTAAGAACGCATTAAAAATGTAACGTTTTCCTCTAAACGCCGAGGAAGCAAATGACACTTCAAATTACACCTCCTTTGTAAATGCACCGTAGATAGAGAAGTGAAAGTGATGGACTCATGGGACGATAAATACTTCTCAATGAGTAATCAAGTCAAGTAAAAATGAACAATGATGCAAATCCAACCCAGGTGTGGGTTTTATACGATAAAAACTGCATTTCGAATCCTAAAACTATAGCAACCTTAAAATAAAAGGTTATTCCTCCCTCGACCTCCTCCGAGGTACCCCAAGTCCAGTCCTTATGTTTTCACCCAGCTCTACTAGATCCTCCACCTGTAACGGAAGGTGCAGCTGTGTGAGTACATGTATATGCGATGTAGAACAATATTGACTATTGTTGTCTACTTGTCTTGCTCAATTAACCCATCAAATAAGACGTGCGAATAAATCAATCTTTCTGTAAATATCACCCCAATCATAACCAAAATAGGATATGCACAAGACTAGACGGTCCGAACACATCGCAAGCCCCCAAACACATATGATCTATGATAAACTAAGAACAAAGCAACCCATACATCTAAATTAAGTCCCTTGACTTGTCTGCTTAAATTTTCCATCTAAATTAGACAGTAAGCAACAACTTAATTATGATTTGGAAAGGTGGTATCTCAGATCCTTTGGGACACCTTCAGTTCCGTTCATGTTTTGGAAGGATACAACAAGTTGCAGATAGAAGATGAATTGAACTATCTACGCATGTAACCTGAGAAGTTGGTCCACTATTCGTATCTAGTTTGAAACTAGGAAAATTATGATCAGTTCAGGTAGACGGTTGAAAGAATTTTAAGAGTGAGGAGTAACAGGGTTTAACATTAGAAAATGAGGTGACTTGATTAATGTTCATGTTTTCAAGAAGAGCCAAGGTACAAAGAGTTGCAGCTAGAACAAGGACTGAACAGTCTAGATAAGAAACCTCACAAGTCATTCCACTCGGGTAGCTAGTCTGCAATCAGGAAACCAGGACTTTGATTGAGGTACAGATTTGAAAGAATTTTAAGAGTGAAGAGTAAATTGGGAAACTTACAGGGCCTTAAACTGGGTAATTATGCAGCTGAATGAGCTACGAGGTTTGAAAGAGAAACTGGGAAAAGAGGTATAAAATGATCTACTCAACAAAACCTAATAACAAAAGCTAATGACATTCAGCAACAAAACTTGCCGAGTAAAACATGATTTCGGATTAAAGGAACTGGAGGAAGAATTCTCTTATAATCATACGAGCACGAAAAGGGGTTCGCACAGTCATAATAAATGAGAAGTATACAAGAAAAACCCAGGAAAACTAGCAAAAAATGCTAAGAATCCAAATCCAAAAGATCTAAACGGATAAAAAGGAACCGAAAGCCACTCAACCACCCGCAAAGGTCTAAAATTTGATTCACAGCCAATGCCCCAAATGACACCTAAACAAAAGAAATTCACTTCAGTACAACACATCATTCACGCATTTTTCGGTTCCTCCCTTGACCAGTAAAACTAGTCCTTCACTAGTTCAACATAAACTGAACATTACAATTTCCATTGTTTTATTTAGTAAAGGTGAGTACTGTGCTTCACTATATCCACACACACACACACACACACAAGATATATTTATATTACTGAATTTAACAAATGAAATTCTGATGACTGAGGAGCATATGATCTTGATGTTAAAAAAGCAGCAGAGATATAAATATAAATTACCATATAATCATGATTCATGTGGAGACCGTAATTGTAATTACAAATTACACAAGCAATACAATCAATGTAGCGAATTGCAATGCTCCCCAATGAAAATGAAAGATATACCCTTGGGAAGCTGAGATAGAGAAATGGGAAACTAACCTCGCTGATGCCAGAGGCATGGAGGCCAGCGACGCCGGCGGTGGCGATGGAGCCAACGTAGAGGGAAGCAACGGCGAAGGCCTTGAAAGGCATCGTAAAGGAGTTGCCGGCGCAGCCTTTCCGGGACGACATAACGGCCCAACCCAGCTGAGCCGCGCTGGCCCCGGCCCACCACAAGTGGGTATGTGACCCGCCGCTTCCAATCTCCGGAGTGTCCTCTTGCATCTGAGTCTCTCTGACCGATGACAATAAAGCACCTTGTTTTGCTTCGTTCGGCAGAATTCGCTGTGTGTGTTGCGGTGTTAGGCTGAAATAGTGGGCTTGTTTTGGGCGCTTTTTCGGACCTCAACAGATTGGAGGCAGATGAACTATTGGGCAATAAACATTTGACCCAAAAAAAAAAGAGCTAACTAGAGATGCTTACCGTATAGCATTTTCGGTTGGCCTTTATTTTTCTTATTTTATTGGTGCGTTCATGCAAAATCAATGAATGATTCGTGTTTAGTTTGAAATACTTGAATCTCCTTGGAATTACCATTTATAGGTATGTTTGAAAACTATCTGCACCCATACAATGATAAAGAGAGAAATCGTGTGGGCTTTGGTGCAATAAATACTTCGTAAAATTTAAAAAATTTATAAATTTATTATGTTTGTTCAAGACAGTTGATGCATGAATAAACTACTTTTATGTTTGAAAAGTTCATGTTCAAGACAGTTCATGTTTGAAAAATTTATAAGTTTATTATGTTTCAATTAACTTTTGGATTATGGACTGCTCTATTGTGGTACTACAATTTCAAGTGAAATACGTAACAATTTGTTTATAGCTAAATAAACTAATTAAATGTCATCCTTTGTATTATCGTCTTATTTAAAAAAAAAAATGCTAAGGAGATTTTCTCAAAGTGAGACATTCTATGTACTCTCTGTCATATCATAATTTAACGTCAATTTTCATGTCAATATATAAAACATTGTGCCAAAAACATGAGATGACGAAGAGTCTCACATGAGATTACAAAAAGTCTATTGAGATTTTCACTTTTGAGAGAGTTTCCTTAGTATTTCTCTTTAAAAAATCTACCAATTTTTATTTTTATTCTATTTATATAACTGTCTTGATACACGCAAAAGTGCATGTCCAAAGGTAAGTCTAGAATATTAAATCAAGTGAAATACATGAAAGTTGATAACATACATGCATTATTGTAACCTCTGTGATTTCAAGTGAAACACGTGAATGATTTGTTTGTTGCTAAATAAACTAATCTATTGTCATCATTGCTTTTATCGCCTTATTTTCTATAAATGCCTCCTCAACGCTCTTCACGAATACAAGAAGTAAGCATGCCTACCAGCAGTGGTAGTTCCAGTAGTTCCAAGATTTTAACTTAGGGTGGTCGCAATATAAAAGCTCCAAAAAGAAAAAACAAGATGAAAATATCATTGAACAAATAAATGGCAAACTACAATTTTCATTTATAATCTTTGTGCTAAACAAGCTAGAAATACTAAATTTGTCCATGACAGGATCTCATACTTTGAAAATGTGTCATGATAGTTTAATTGTCAATACAAGAAAAACATCTTTCTCAATGTAAACAACTAAGCCATCATTTAACCATTGATTCCCCATTCTGTTGCAGAGTGGACTCTTAATGATATTCATGGCGGAAAATGCTCTCTCCGCTGAAGGAGTTGCAACAAGTAAAACCAAAGCCAATTCAATAAGTAAATATACAAATTGAAATACTCGATGCAACCTTTTTTCCACCATTTTCTTAGCAAGATCACTAATGCTTTTCAACTGAGAAAAGTCACTTCTCGAACGCATTGAATAAATATAAATATCAAGTTGATCTTTAAGTACCAATAGGTCTTGCTTCGTAAAATCTTAAGGGTACAATCAAGCAAGGCGAAGTAGCTTTTCTTTGTCAAAAACTACAAAAGAATCAATTGGACTCAAACTAGCTAAACAAATGAGCAATTCGGTACTTGTCTCATTGAAGCGATCATTTAACTTTGTAAGTTGGGAATCAACGACAACAAAAAAGAGCTCCACTTTGTAACGATGACGGTTGATCTTTTTGTGGGTATTATAGTGTGACCTCCCATGAGCTACATATGTCTCATCCATGTTAATAACCTCAATATGATGTTGGACACAAAATGACAATACTTTGTCAACCAAAAGGTCAAACCCCTCATCATTCGTTATGTAGAGTAGTTGTTCTTTACATGTGTTGACTAAAGCCATTACATTCACAATCTCTTGATCATTCTTTTGTAATGCTTGTGATAAATCATTCGTTATTCCCAATATAAATTTCATCAAAAAAAGGAGAAACACAAACTTAAAAGATTGTATGTCTTTCAATAACCTATTTGCTTCAGCAACACTATCATTGGTATTATCATCAACAATCATTTCTAGCACATTGACCATGGATGAGAACATAGTAATCAAAGTACCATAATGTGAATTCCATCCTATAGCTCTGGCACGTTTGAGACTAATTTCTTGATTTAAGCCTTGCCCCGTCATAAGAGAATCATTTTCAAGAGCTTTCATAAATTCTTTTTGTTGCATCTCTCTAAGTGCATCACGACGCTTACATGAAGCTCCAATATTATTTACTACATTATTAGCCAATAGGAAGAATGTGTTAACATTAACATTATCCTTTGCTATGGCAACAAGAGCTAATTGGTGTTGATGAGTAAAGCAATGAACATAGAATGCACAAGGTTGATCATTCAAGTTCTTTATCTTGAGTCCATTGAACTCACCTTTCATATTACTAGTACCATCGTAACCTTGCCCCTCGTAAATTAGAGAAACTCAACTCATTGAAATGAATGAATGCATCAATAGACTCCTTTAGTGTGTTTGAAGTGGTGTCGAGAACATGTTGAACTCCTACAAACCTTTCAATGACTTTCCCATTTTTGTCCACATAACGCAAAACCACTACCATTTGCTCCTTTATAGAAACATCACGTGCCTCATCAACCAATAAAGAAAAGAACCTAGCATTCTTCATATCGCTTATGATATTTTTAATGGTTTCAATAGAACATGAATGAACAAGATCTTTTTGAATTGAAGGAGCTATTAGCTTGAGATTTCCTGGACCTTTATCCAACACAACAACCTTTATTTTCTCATCATGATCCACAAGGAATTGCAAGAGCTCCAAATATAGTTACCTCTATTGTTTGAAGTGTCACTTTCATCATGACCACAAAATAAAAGACCTCGTCACAACAAAAACTTAGTGCAATCAATTGACGCATTCAAGCAAGTGTGATAAGCCATATGAGCTTCTTCTGATTGTTTGACCACAACTATTTCATATGTGTCTTTTGATTCATTAGATTACCAGCAGCTTCAACATCTTTATTGTGAAAGCTACCAACAATTCCCACATGTTTTTCAAAATAGGCTCTTGCGTGGTTCCAATTTTGAAAGCCTATCTCAGTAAAGACGTCGTTGCCTGATTGTTCAAAGTTGACTTTGAATAGATAGCAATAAAAGCAAAATGCAGCATCTTTAGATATACTATATTCCAACCAATGAAATTCATTCAACCAATTATCAACAAACCATCGCTTTTTATTCGAATGCAAAGTGAATGGAAAATCATGATCTTTAGCTCTAAAAGGCTCCATCAATATATTGCAAAGTGAATGGATAATCCTTTATTGGAATTCTCTTTCCGGGGTCTCTCTTAAGATTATCCAAATCAACTTTTAACTCATTTTGTTGTGGAGTGGAATTACCCCCAATTAGATCAGAACAATTTGGAATTGGAGGTGAAGTATTTGGAATAGGATTGGAACTATCTAAGTTTGGAGATGAACTATTTGGAATATGATTGTCTGAACTAATCGATGATGATTTTCGCTTGTAATATCGTTCCATACTTCTAATTTCTACTCATATCAATTAATATATATATATATATATATATATATATATATATATATATATATATAAGAACTATATCAATTGATGAAACTAAAAAAATATTATATGAAAAACAAGAAATCAGATTCATTTATAAATTTATAATTAGTTCTGTGGGATTCTAATATTATGAATGCCAAAGATAGAGATACATGCCACAAATAGACTGCCATCACTTCAAAAAAACATTAAATGTTTAATTCATCACCACCAAACATTAAAAATAAAAATACTTCTTAAACAAGTTATCTAACACCACAAATAAATTAATATCAGATAGTGGATGGTAAAATTATTTAATGGACAAAGTCACAGAGAGTACAAACCTCTTCGACCAAGAAGAAAAGGACCAACCTTCGGACCAGAGCTTTACACGAAGAAAAAATGCTAGCAGGCTACCACAAGTACAAACGCACAATTGCTAAGCGCATAATTGCACCAATATAGATATGTTACAATAAACAATAAACATAACAGAGATACACTGGCACCCACATTAGTCATCACTAAATAGCGAGGCCTCGTAAAGTCATTGCACTAAAGTTAGACCACATCAAGTCATTGTTGACAAACAAGACTACATAACTCATCGCTCAAAGGTGAAGACCAATCTAGCCACTAGAACAGTGCGATCACATCACTTGCAAGTCGAGTGAAGCACAACTACACTACTTCGAGAAGGGAACCATTAGCCAACTCGTCTTAGTGAGGACGAAGATACTTAACCCAAGGCCACCTGCAAATTCACCAGTTAAGTGAGATTTCAAAATCCAAAAAATCAAGCACCATAAGATGAAGTTGCATAAGGTAACAGAGCCACTAGGAACGAAACGCACAACAACCGGAAGCAGGTGGATCTGTGTGCACAAGTCAGCATAGTCACAAAATTAGTTGGGGAAAGTACCACCACCATGGAAAACGAGCTGATGGTGGTGGATCCAACCCACCTGAAGCCATGGATCCAACACACACCAAGAAAACGAGGGCCAAATCAAAAGAAAACCTTGAGAAGGCATGATCTAGATCTGGGTGTGAGAGTGAAATCCATGGAAAAACTACTCACAAATTGGTGGGAGAGAAACACATGAAAGGATGAGGACGTATGTGAAGGTTGGAAAAAGGGTGGTCAACGCGAAGTCAGATGGTTGAGTTGTGGTTAGGAGGGGAGGTGAGAGAATTCTAGGATGGGGGCAAGGGGGGAAAGAGGATGGGAAGAAGATCTAAGAAGAGAAAGGAGGAAGCTGCCACTGGCCCCCAATCATAGCCAGAAGCCGACAACTATAGAGGTAGCAGGCTAGGGTTTTTTTAAATGAAAGAAAGATGGCTCTGTTTGGTCACTAACAGAGAATTAATGGAATAAAATATAGCAAAAATGATATAAGTATAAAAAT